CGCCATAGTGACAGTATTGGGTAGCGCCACTCATCCTGTGAGTGGACACACCGCCATAGTGACAGTATTGGGCAGCGCCACTCATCCTGTGAGTGGACACACCGCCATAGTGACAGTATTGGGCAGCGCCACTCATCCTGTGAGTGGACACACCGCCATAGTGACAGTATTGGGCAGCGCCACTCATCCTGTGAGTGGACACACCGCCATAGTGACAGTATTGGGCAGCGCCACTCATCCTGTGAGTGGACACACCGCCATAGTGACAGTATTGGGCAGCGCCACTCATCCTGTGAGTGGACACACCGCCATAGTGACAGTATTGGGCAGCGCCACTCATCCTGTGAGTGGCCACACCGCCATAGTGACAGTATTGGGCAGCGCCACTCATCCTGTGAGTGGCCACACCGCCATAGTGACAGTATTGGGCAGCGCCACTCATTAGTGAGTGGACACACCGCCATAGTGACAGTATTGGGCAGCGCCACTCATCCTGTGAGTGGACACACCGCCATAGTGACAGTATTGGGCAGCGTCACTCATCCTGTGAGTGGACACACCGCCATAGTGACAGTATTGGGCAGCGCCACTCATCCTGTGAGTGGCCACACCGCCATAGTGACAGTATTGGGCAGCGCCACTCATCCTGTGAGTGGACACACCGCCATAGTGACAGTATTGGGCAGCGCCACTCATTAGTGAGTGGACACACCGCCATAGTGACAGTATTGGGCAGCGTCACTCATTAGTGAGTGGACACACCGCCATAGTGACAGTATTGGGCAGCGTCACTCATCCTGTGAGTGAACATACCGCCTAAGTGACAGTATTGGGCAGCGTCACTCATGCTGTGAGTGAACATAGAGCCTAAGTGACAGTATTGGGCAGCGTCACTCATGCTGTGAGTGAACATAGAGCCTAAGTGACAGTATTGGGCAGCGTCACTCATGCTGTGAGTGAACATACCGCCTAAGTACAGTATTGGGCAGCGTCACTCATGCTGTGAGTGGACACACCGCCATAGTGACAGTATTGGGCAGCGTCACTCATGCTGTGAGTGGACACACCGCCAAAGTGACAGTATTGGGCAGCGTCACTCATGCTGTGAGTGGACACACCGCCATAGTGACAGTATTGGGCAGCGTCACTCATCCTGTGAGTGGACACACCGCCGTAGTGACAGTATTGGGCAGCGTCACTCATGCTGTGAGTGGACACACCGCCGTAGTGACAGTATTGGGCAGCGTCACTCAAGCTGTGAGTGGACACACCGCCGTAGTGACAGTATTGGGCAGCGCCACTCAAGCTGTGAGTGAACACACCGCCGTAGTGACAGTATTGGGCAGCGTCACTCATGCTGTGAGTAAACACAGCGCCCTAGTGACAGTATTGGGCAGCGTCACTCATGCTGTGAGTAAACACAGCGCCCTAGTGACAGTATTGGGCAGCGTCACTCATGCTGTGAGTAAACACAGCGCCCTAGTGACAGTATTGGGCAGCGTCACTCATGCTGTGAGTGGACACACCGCCATAGTGACAGTATTGGGCAGCGTCACTCATCCTGTGAGTGGACACACCGCCATAGTGACAGTATTGGGCAGCGTCACTCATGCTGTGAGTGGACACACCGCCATAGTGACAGTATTGGGCAGCGTCACTCATGCTGTGAGTGGACACACCGCCATAGTGACAGTATTGGGCAGCGCCACTCATGCTGTGAGTGGACACACCGCCATAGTGACAGTATTGGGCAGCGTCACTCATGCTGTGAGTGGACACACCGCCATAGTGACAGTATTGGGCAGCGTCACTCATGCTGTGAGTGGACACACCGCCATAGTGACAGTATTGGGCAGCGTCACTCATGCTGTGAGTGGACACACCACCATAGTGACAGTATTGGGCAGCGCCACTCATCCTGTGAGTGGACACACCGCCATAGTGACAGTATTGGGCAGCGTCACTCATGCTGTGAGTGGACACACCGCCATAGTGACAGTATTGGGCAGCGCCACTCATGCTGTGAGTGGACACACCGCCATAGTGACAGTATTGGGCAGCGCCACTCATGCTGTGAGTGGACACACCGCCATAGTGACAGTATTGGGCAGCGCCACTCATCCTGTGAGTGGACACACCGCCATAGTGACAGTATTGGGCAGCGCCACTCATGCTGTGAGTGGACACACCGCCATAGTGACAGTATTGGGCAGCGTCACTCATCCTGTGAGTGGACACACCGCCATAGTGACAGTATTGGGCAGCGTCACTCATCCTGTGAGTGGACACACCGCCATAGTGACAGTACTGGGCAGCGTCACTCATGCTGTGAGTGGACACACCGCCATAGTGACAGTATTGGGCAGCGTCACTCATGCTGTGAGTGGACACACCGCCATAGTGACAGTATTGGGCAGCGTCACTCATGCTGTGAGTGGACACAGAGCCTAAGTACAGTATTGGGCAGCGTCACTCATGCTGTGAGTGAACATAGAGCCTAAGTACAGTATTGGGCAGCGTCACTCATGCTGTGAGTGAACATAGAGCCTAAGTGACAGTATTGGGCAGCGTCACTCATGCTGTGAGTGAACATAGAGCCTAAGTGACAGTATTGGGCAGCGTCACTCATGCTGTGAGTGAACATAGAGCCTAAGTGACAGTATTGGGCAGCGTCACTCATGCTGTGAGTGAACATAGAGCCTAAGTACAGTATTGGGCAGCGTCACTCATGCTGTGAGTGGACACAGAGCCTAAGTGACAGTATTGGGCAGCGTCACTCATGCTGTGAGTGAACATAGAGCCTAAGTGACAGTATTGGGCAGCGTCACTCATGCTGTGAGTGAACATAGAGCCTAAGTGACAGTATTGGGCAGCGTCACTCATGCTGTGAGTGGACACACCGCCATAGTGACAGTATTGGGCAGCGTCACTCATGCTGTGAGTGGACACACCGCCATAGTGACAGTATTGGGCAGCGTCACTCATGCTGTGAGTGGACACACCGCCATAGTGACAGTATTGGGCAGCGTCACTCACCCTGTGAGTGGACACACAGCCATAGTGACAGTATTGGGCAGCGTCACTCACCCTGTGAGTGGACACACCGCCATAGTGACAGTATTGGGCAGCGTCACTCATCCTGTCAGTGGACACACAGCCATAGTGACAGTATTGGGCAGCATCACTCACCCTGTGGGTGGAACACCGCCATAGTGACAGTATTGGGCAGCGCCACTCATCCTGTGAGTGGACACACCGCCATAGTGACAGTATTGGGCAGCGTCACTCATCCTGTGTGTGGACACACCGCCATAGTGACAGTATTGGGCAGCGTCACTCATCCTGTGAGTGGATACACCACCATGGTGACAGTATTGGGCAGCGTCACTCATCCTGTGAGTGGACACACCGCCATAGTGACAGTATTGGGCAGCGTCACTCATCCTGTGAGTGGATACACCACCATGGTGACAGTATTGGGCAGCGCCACTCATCCTGTGAGTGGACACACCGCCATAGTGACAGTATTGGGCAGCGTTACTCATCCTGTGAGTGGACACACCGCCATAGTGACAGTATTGGGCAGCGCCACTCATTCTGTGAGTGGACACACTGCCATAGTGACAGTATTGGGCAGCGTCACTCATTAGTGAGTGGACACACCACCATAGTGACAGTATTGGGCAGCGCCACTCATCCTGTGAGTGGACACACCGCCATAGTGACAGTATTGGGCAGCGTTACTCATCCTGTGAGTGGATACACCGCCATAGTGACAGTATTGGGCAGCGCCACTCATCCTGTGAGTGGACACACCGCCATAGTGACAGTATTGGGCAGCGTTACTCATCCTGTGAGTGGATACACCGCCATAGTGACAGTATTGGGCAGCGCCACTCATCCTGTGAGTGGACACACCGCCATAGTGACAGTATTAGGCAGCGCCACTCATCCTATGAGTGGACAAGTAGCGTAAGTTAGGACTACGACCGTCCGCGCCACCGGAGCAGGTGAGCCAGCTGTGGTCACCTGCCCAGGAATCGCACCTGGCCGTAGTCCTAAGGGTGTGAGAGGCACCCCGCCCGTCGGGCCATAGGTCCACGGGACATTCTACGGTTTCCAGTGATGAAAGGGGGTGTAAGGATAATGTAAGTATGTGTAGCAGGTGTACAGCTGGAGTGTAGTATATGTGCGGGTGTGTATGTTAAAGTGTAATTTGAAAGTGTATGTAGTGGGAGTGTAGAGTTATATAGGTGTGCATGCTTAGTGAGTTAAGCATGTGTAAAGTTACGCCTGCTGGGAGCACATGGCATCACCAGACCTAGGAGACCGGGCTGAGTATGTAGAAGGTTAGGTTAGGGAGCCGTGGGAAACAGGATGTCAGACACGGGCCATGACTGGTGAGCTATCAGCTGTCCACCACCACCATCACCACCATTACCACCACCACCATCACCACCACCACCTCCCCTTCACTCAGACTCGTGTTTTTAATTAAAAAACGCACATTAAACTAAAGGACGGTCTGCCCTATGTCGGGTCCTCCAACAGATCACAGACAGTTACCAGACATTACACTCAGGCACGTAGACTTGTCAATCTGATGGTAAAGAATGATACTCGTTGTTCCTATCCCTCCTTAGGCTTCTCACACACGACACACAACAATATATAAATCTCAGCATACATCTGCTACATTTTTTGTAATATCCCAAGGCAGTCTGTGGTTTCTATAGTCATCATTTTAAGTCAACAGTAGAGCCAGAGACATGTTCACGATACCCCAGAGACATGATACATGAGGTGGTAGAGGTACTTGGAATTAAGGTAGAGAAACTAAACCTAATTATTATTCTAATATATAAACCGCCAGATTCAACGGTTGAGGAATTCACAGAGCAGATGAACAAAATAGAGAACATACTTGACAACCTAGCAAACCCAGCTCCAGATATTATCTTCCTTGGAGATTTCAATTTATCGAGTCTAAAATGGCACACTGTGGCCGGATGGCGAGCTGGCACACTGTCTGAGGCTGGATGGCGAGCTGGCACACTGTCTGAGGCTGGATGGCGAGCTGGCACACTGTCTGAGGCTGGATGGCGAGCTGGCACACTGTCTGAGGCCGGATGGCGAGCTGGCACACTGTGGCCGGATGGCAAGCTGGCACACTGTCTGAGGCCGGATGGCGAGCTGGCACACTGTCTGAGGCTGGATGGCGAGCTGGCACACTGTGGCCGGATGGCAAGCTGGCACACTGTCTGAGGCCGGATGGCGAGCTGGTACACTGTCTGAGGCTGGATGGCGAGCTGGCACACTGTCTGAGGCCGGATGGCGAGCTGGTACACTGTCTGAGGCCGGATGGCGAGCTGGTACACTGTCTGAGGCCGGATGGCGAGCTGGTACACTGTCTGAGGCTGGATGGCGAGCTGGTACACTGTCTGAGGCTGGATGGCGAGCTGGTACACTGTTGGAGGCTGGATGGCGAGCTGGCACACTGTCTGAGGCTGGATGGCGAGCTGGTACACTGTTGGAGACTGGATGGCGAGCTGGCACACTGTCTGAGGCTGGATGGCGAGTTGGCACACTGTCTGAGGCCGGATGGCGAGCTGGTACACTGTCTGAGGCCGGATGGCGAGCTGGTACACTGTCTGAGGCTGGATGGCGAGCTGGTACACTGTCTGAGGCTGGATGGCGAGCTGGTACACTGTCTGAGGCCGGATGGCGAGCTGGCACACTGTCTGAGGCCGGATGGCGAGCTGGTACACTGTCTGAGGCTGGATGGCGAGCTGGTACACTGTTGGAGGCTGGATGGCGAGTTGGCACACTGTCTGAGGCCGGATGGCGAGCTGGTACACTGTCTGAGGCCGGATGGCGAGCTGGTACACTGTCTGAGGCTGGATGGCGAGCTGGTACACTGTCTGAGGCTGGATGGCGAGCTGGTACACTGTTGGAGGCTGGATGGCGAGCTGGCACACTGTCTGAGGCTGGATGGCGAGTTGGTACACTGTCTGAGGCCGGATGGCGAGCTGGTACACTGTCTGAGGCTGGATGGCGAGCTGGCACACTGTCTGAGGCTGGATGGCGAGCTGGCACACTGTCTGAGGCTGGATGGCGAGCTGGTACACTGTCAGAGACGGGATGGCGAGCTGACACACTGTCTGAGGCCGGATGGCGAGCTGGCACACTGTCTGAGGCTGGATGGCGAGCTGGTACACTGTCTGAGGCTGGATGGCGAGCTGGCACACTGTCTGAGGCCGGATGGCGAGCTGGCACACTGTCTGAGGCTGGATGGCGAGCTGGCACACTGTCTGAGGCTGGATGGCGAGCTGGTACACTGTCTGAGGCCGGATGGCGAGCTGGCACACTGTCTGAGGCCGGATGGCGAGCTGGCACACTGTCTGAGGCCGGATGGCGAGCTGGCACACTGGCTGGGACCGAATGGAGAGAATACTTCATCAAAAAGTTGAACCATGTCTCCCCTGCTGAATTACTCCCAGTCATTCCTTGTGGGAGTGATGCGTCCTGTCACTTTCAGGTCTCGGGCGCTTGGTGACACCTTGGTGGTTCCCGGGCTTCCGCCTCGGGCGCCTACATCGCTTCACGTCACGTCAGGGCGTCTCCTCATTGGTCACGCCTCCAACGCCCAGCCAATCACAGTCTCTACATCCGGGAGACTCAATGTCTTAGCACCAGGAGTATTTTGGGCGGGAACATATCTTCTCGAGCCTGAGTAAATCCGCCATATTTGCTGCAGTGGCCCAGCTCCTACTTCCTCCACACCGAATTTAAAACTTAAATCATTCAAAAGTTCGGATTCTCGCCTTACTCTGAGTTCAATACAACGAAACGGAGTCTTCTAGTTTCTTCTAGAAATCTATGAGTCGTCTGTACGAGTGCGAGTATAACTCATACTAGGTGGGAGAGCAGTGTATCCTGCCGATACATGTACAGTCGATAGTGACGTCAAGGGCCTCAGGAGTGAGTCGATAGGGTAGTCCTTAGGGTCTACAAGAATAAATCGTAATTATACTAGGTTCAAGAATCAAGAATCATGGATCAAGAATCCCAGTGATCTAAACAGTGAAATTATATCACATACAGATTTGCATCAGTTTTTCTTCGTGTTACTTCTTTACAGTTTCTGCTTCAAGCAGCCTTAGATATGCACTTGAAGAAGTCTAACAGCCCAAATAAAACTGCAATTAGCAATAACCTGTAGATGGAATATTTCCAGGGAACTACCAGCAGTGAATAAAAACTACTAAACATGTATCATGAGGCTAATCGAGTGTTGTTGGGAGCAAATAAGCCTCTCCAGTCGTGGCCCTCTAATAATCCCAAATTAAATCAACTTATTGAAGCTGAATTTCCCGACTACAAAGTACCTCAAAAATTACAAGTACTAGGAGTTGAGTGGGACACAACTTCAGATGAGTTGACAATTAAATTGGTGGAACCAGATACCGCCAACTTAACCATGAAGAAACTACTATCACAAGTCGGCAAACCCTTTGACCCTTTGGGACTACTAAGTCCTATATTAATTAAGGGTAAACTTCTTATGCAGGAATGATGACAAGGTAAAATAGGTTGGGATGATTCATTAACAAATGCCTTACTGGAAAAAATGGAAACAGTTAACAAGAGATCTAAGTATCCTAAACGACCTTAAGTTCCCTCATAATACAGTAAAACCTGATCAACTCATCAAGCTGCATGTGTTTTGTGATGCCTCAGGAGAGGTGTATGGCACCGTAGCCTATTTAGTAACTAACGAGCAGGCCACACTGCTCACATCAAACGCTAGAGTGGCACCATTAAAGAAACGGTCATTGCCACAATTAGAATTAACAGCCTACTAGTAGAAGTTAGGTTGGCTGTGGTATAGTATGATAATGAGGCTTACAGTGGGTGAGAAATGACAATAACAAAACTCCCTACATAAGCAATCGCATTAGGGAAATACGAAAATTGTCAGCAGGGTACAAACTAAGATATGTACCTACCAAAGAAAATCCAGCTGACTACCTTTCCAAAGGATAGACGATAAGGATATTAGCCGAGGCGGAGATGTGGTTTAATGGACCTCGGTGGCTAATCAGAGGCCTAAACAAAAGTCTCTGCCCAATGTCTCTGTTCTCACCGAGACACCAGAACCACCTCGAACTCTGGCTATTGATCCTAGTCAGTATTCTGAATTAAGTAAATTGCTAGGTGTAACACAAGTAGTATTTGATTTCCTGTACAGAATTGGGGATCAAACACCAATTTCCTAGTCCATTAAAGTAATGGGTCAAGCGAGCCCAGACTGAAACCTATGGGACGGATTATGAAAACTCCCTGATAAATTAATAAAAGATCTGGGTCTCTGATGCAGACAGTAATAATATACTAATGTGAAGAGGACGCTAGGAACATGCCAACATAAATTTGGATGTAAAGAACGCAATGTTTCTTCCCTTACACCACATCATCAGTCGGCTAATTGTGTTGCACTTACACAAACACGTCACTTTACATGGTGGGGTACTTGATGCTCTCACCGGCCCGAGACAACAGTTCTGGCTCCCTCAAGGTCGCCAGACTGTAAAATCTATAATAAAATCTTGTGTAATCTGCCGGAGGTACGATGTTCGGATGTGTCCTTATCCAAGACCTCCACTACTTCCTAAAGAACGAGTTGTCCACCTTCGTCCTTTTGAGACCACTTGGGTAGACTACACAGGAGCAATAACCTTCACAGGTATCAAGGACAAGGCTCCAGTGAAATAGGGAGGGGGAGTGCCACCCTAAGGACTACCCTATCGACTCACTACTGAGGCCCTTGACGTCACTATTGACACACTCTTGAGGCCCTTGACGTCACTATTGACACACTGTTGAGGCCCTTGACATTTGTCTCTTTACTTGTGCCACCACAAATGGAGTACACCTAGAGGTGACTCCCAACATGAGTGCTGAGGCGTTCACACAAGCTTTCCGCAGGTTTGCTGCCTGTAGATCCTGTCCCAAGTTAATGATTTCAGACAATGGGTCCAACCTGGTGGCAGGGAAAGCATGTCTGTGAAAAATTTGGAATCGCCCAGAGGGACATACTGTTCTAAAACAAAGGCAGTGCCACTGGAAGTTCATACCTCCCAGAGCACCGTGGCACGGAGGATTCTATGAACGAATGATAGGTATAGTAAAACGTTGCCTAGTACAATACACCCCCTCAAAGAATTCATTTGCAGGAGCGTTTTTGACATAGAAATAGAAGCTAGAGTCACCAACCGACCACTGACCTACCTCTCTGATGATATTTCACAACGAGAACCACTAACTCCATTCCATCTGATGTATGGGGGACTTCTTAGCCCTCTAGTGTCAATAACGGACGAGGAACCAGAAGATCCTTCATATGTCGGAGGGAGTGACTTAGTCCAGAGTTTCAAACACCTCTCACGATTGAAAGGTCAGTGGAATGATGTGTGGACTCGAGAATATCTAACTGCTCTGAGAAATTATTATGGAGCGAGTAGCCTTTACAATACAGCTGAATATAAATTGAGGACTGAATTTTATACAATTATTATTAACCGAGATGGTTTCTATCGGCCTCAGTGGATGGTCATTGACCTGTAGCTTGAACTGCTGCAAGTCACAGCGACCAGTTCCACTGATTCCACTGCAGTCCCGGAACCATGCTTGACTGTAGTAATTGATCACATTCAGTCCTCTTAGCAAATTAAATGTAATCAAGCTAGAAACCTAACATAACCCGAGTTAGCAGGACAGTGAAATTACTTAGAGTTTTACAACACCAGCACCTCTAATACGGGACATCCATACTGTATGACCAGATGTACAGGCATGTTACAAACCTAATGTTAAATTTATAATTTCGAGGGGAAGTATCCGTGTTTGTCAGTCCCAAACAGTGGACTATGACCCATGTTTCTCTCCCCCGGAATTATGTCGGAAATTCCAACGTCTTGGAGTTTCGTGTGTGGAAATATGGACACACACGCCCATAGGGGCCAGGGATGACCCATAGTGCCAGGGACGACCCATAGTGCCAGGGACGACCCATAGTGCCAGGGACGACCCATAGTGCCAGGGACGACCCATAGTGCCAGGGACGACCCATAGTGCCAGGGACGACCCATAGTGCCAGGGACGACCCATAGCGCCCAGGACGACACACATACCCATTGCGCCAGGGACGACACACACGCCCATAGCGCCAGGGACGACACACATACCCATAGCGCCAGGGACGACACACATACCCATGGCGCCAGGGACGACACACACGCCCATAGCGCCAGGGACGACACACATACCCATAGCGCCAGGGACGACACACATACCCATGGCGCCAGGGACGACACACACGCCCATAGGGCCATGGACGACACACACGCCCATAGGGCCATGGACGATACACACGCCCATAGGGCCAGGGACGACACACACGACCATAGGGCCAAGGACGACTCATATCGCCAGGGACGACACACATACCCATGGCGCCAGGGACGACACACATACCCATGGCGCCAGGGACGACCCATAGCGCCAGGGACGACACACATACCCATGGCGCCAGGGACGACACAAATACCCATGGCGCCAGGGACGACACACATACCCATGGCGCCAGGGACGACACACATACCCATGGCGCCAGGGACGACCCATAGCGCCAGGGACGACAAACATACCCATGGCGCCAGGGACGACACACATACCCATGGCGCCAGGGACGACACAAATACCCATGGCGCCAGGGACGACACACATACCCATGGCGCCAGGGACGACACACACGCCCATAGTGCCATGGACGACACACACCTGCCCCTAGCGCCAGGGGACGCCACACACCTGCCCCTAGCGCCAGGGGATGCCACACACCTGCCCCTAGCGCCAGAGGACGCCACACACGCCCATAGCGCCAGGGACGACACACACGCCCATAGCGCCAGGGACGACACACATACCCATAGCGTCAGGGACGACACACATACCCATAGCGCCAGGGACGCCACACACGCCCATAGTGCCAGGGACGACACACACGCCCATAGCGCCAGGGGATGCCACACACCTGCCCCTAGCGCCAGGGACGCCACACACCTGCCACTAGCGCCAGGGACGCCACACACCTGCCCCTAGCGCCAGGGACGCCACACACCTGCCCCTAGCGCCAGGGACGCCACACACGCACCTCCAGCCCCTCCCATACTCCCACATGCCTTGTTACCTCCACATTCCCAAATGGTTTACAGGTCGTTAAATTATATCCCTGAGTTTGTTAACGCTGCAGCTAGCATGAGTTTGCCTTTTATAGTGGCAGAGCGAGGGAGTCCCTATTGATAGGTGGCCCGCTGTGAGGCCGGCCAGGGCGGCCATCACCGCTGTGTTTGTGTGCTGTGGTGGGAGC